GCACCCTGCCTGCTGCATTTCATCTCCAACCCCGCAAAAGGCCAAGACAAGGGGCAGGAGACAGGAGCCCCGTGTGCCAGACCCGGAGGAAGTGGGACAGGACAGGCCTGTGAACAAGCCAGGCTGGACTTGGCCAGCAGAATGGAGAGCTCCTTACCCTCCCCTCGCCCCAAAATAGCTCCCTGAGCTGCGGGGCCAAGACCCTCCCATTGCGGGGGGGGGGCGGGGGGGCGGGGCATGCTGCCCAGAGCCAGGCTTTAAATCCCCTCGAGGCTGGGGCGCTCCACTCCCTGGCTGGAGGCTCCACGTCCCCTCTCGTCCTCCCCTCTGTCGTTCCCCGCGTCCTCAGCCGGCCCGCCCTCCCGCAGCCATGTCCCGGCCCCTGTCCGACCAGGACAAGAGGAAACAAATCAGCGTGCGCGGCCTGGCCGGCGTGGAGAATGTGAGCGACCTGAAAAAGAACTTCAACCGCCACTTGCATTTCACGCTCGTGAAGGACCGCAACGTGGCCACGCCGCGGGACTACTACTTTGCGCTGGCCCACACCGTGCGTGACCACCTCGTAGGCCGCTGGATCCGCACGCAGCAGCACTACTACGAGAAGGACCCCAAGGTGCTGGTGGGGACACCGTGGGTGGGGCGTGGGCCCCTGGTCACGCTGGGTTCCTGGGCTGGAGGATCCAGGGGTGCAGGGTGCAAGGGGCGCCCCGCTGGGACGACCCGGGGGAGGGGGAAGGAGACCTAGGGCTGGTTGGGGGTTTGGGTCAGGCGGCCGGACGCAAAAGCCCGGCACCCACCCGGAGAAGGTGGGTTCCGGATGGAAGGACATGTCAGCCGCTGAGTGGCATGCCTGGGGCAGCAGGTGGGGGTGGCTGGGGCAGCTGGGACAACAGGGATCGAGTGTCTGGTGGGGTCAGTGGTAAATGTCAGCAACCTAACACCCACAGTGGGAGTGGGGGAGGGTCAGGCGGGGCGGGAGGGAGCCCGGGAGGCCAGGCACCCACAGCATCCTAGCTCCTGGTGCCCCTCCGTTCCCTTCTTGAGGCTAGAGGCCCAGGGGCAACCGAGCAGCGTCAGGATGGGAGGTGGCAGTCTCTAGGCTCGAGTCACTGTGTGACCTTGAGGAAATGACTTTTCCCTCCGGGCCTTGCTCTCTCGGGGAGCGCGTGGGGGTGCTTGTCTGGGTCCTGTCTCCCCGCGTTCCCACCTCTCCCGAGCGCCTCAGTCCCTGCCGTGGGTCTGGCCAGCTCCATTTCCCAGATGAGGAAGCTGAGGTCAGAGAAGAAAGTGATTTGCTCCAAGTTACAGGGATGCTGGGACCAGAGCCTTACCTGTCGGGCCCCAACGCCTGCCATGACTCCTCTGAGTGGAAGGAAAAAACTGGGGACAGGGAGGGACACGCGGGCCTGGGAGAAGGACAAGAGGGTGGGAAGTCCAGGCCCGGCTGGATGGCCCTGACCCCTCTCCCGGCCTGTCTGTCTTTGGGTAGAGAATCTACTACTTGTCTTTGGAGTTCTACATGGGACGGACGTTACAGAACACCATGGTCAATCTGGGCTTGGAGAATGCCTGTGACGAGGCCACCTACCAGGTACGTGGGGCTAGGGAGAGCCTTAGGAGAGGGGAGTACTCTGCTGGCACGTGGGGCCTGACCACTGTTCCCCCCCGCCCCAGCTGGGCCTGGACATGGAGGAACTGGAGGAAATTGAGGAGGATGCAGGGCTGGGCAATGGAGGCCTGGGCCGGCTGGCGGGTAAGTGGACAGGGCTGTGGCGGCAGGGTGGGGGAGGAGGGAGGGTGCTATCGTCTCATGCTGGATCCCTGGCACCCACCTCCCTGCACACCCCTAGCCTGCTTTCTGGACTCCATGGCAACGCTGGGCTTGGCCGCCTATGGCTACGGAATTCGCTACGAGTTTGGGATTTTCAACCAGAAGATCTGCGGGGGCTGGCAGGTGAGCAGCTGTGGCCCTGACCTTGTAGGTGGGGCCCAGGCGTGGTGGGGAGGGATTCCCCCCCCATAGCTCTCCATCTCTGGACAGGTCTAGAACCAGCAGAAAGCATCCCTGCCCCTCCCCCTTGCCCCAAAGCCAGCTGGTGACCGCTAGAACAGGTGGCCACCTGTCGACTGCTTGGCCCACGCCACTGCCACTGGATAGCTCACCAGGCCAGGCCTCCCCACCCCATTAATTTACACCCGGGCTAGGGTACACCACTCCTGCCCTGCCCACTGCCCCTTGTGGCTTGCGTGCCTGGGTCTGACGTTGCCTTCCTCTCTCCCCCACCTGCCTTGGGCTCAGATGGAAGAGGCCGATGACTGGCTTCGCTATGGCAACCCCTGGGAGAAGGCCCGGCCCGAGTTCACGCTGCCTGTGCACTTCTATGGCCGAGTGGAGCACACCAGCCAGGGGGCCAAGTGGGTGGACACACAGGTGAGCACGAAGCCAGGCCGGGGAGAACCCAACAGGGGATGAGGGAGGAGGAGGAACTTCCTAGAGGAAGCAGGCAACAGGGAAAGAGCCAGGAGGCTCTTGGACCCCGTGTTATTTTACAACCGAGGCTGCTGAGGCCCAGAGAGGTTAAGTGAATTACTCAAGGTCACACAGCTGGAGCCAGAAGAAACTGAAGACAGGGTCACAGGGGAGCTAGGCTAAGTGCGGAGTCTGGGAGGAGAAGAAAGGCCCCTCTCCTGACCTGGCTTCTTCTACACAAGACTCATCGGAGGACCCTCATGGAGGCTGGGTGCAGTACTTTAATCACACCTTTAATCCCAGTACTTTGGGAGGCCAAGGCAGGAGGGTTGCTGGAGCCCAGGAATTTGAGACCAACCTAGGTAACGTAGCAAGACCTCATCGCTACAAGAAATCAAAAAAATTAGCCAGGTGTGGTGGCACACGCCTGTAGTCCCAGTGCCTTGGGAGGCTGAGGCGAGAGGATCGCTTGAGACCAGGAAGTTGAGGTTGTGGTGACCTGTAATCATGCCACTGCACTCCAGTGTGGAAGAAAAATAAAGACCGCCACGGCAACTTGGGTCTGCCCTGCACAACTCAATAGCAGCAGCCCAGAAAGGGAGACAGGGAAGAAACTTAAGGCCCTAAGACTGGAATTCACTTGTCCCACAGTTAGAAGGACCCTACAGCCCATCCAGGAGTCCGAATCCCAGCTGGGTCCATCCTCTCCTGTTGGCGGTCACAGGTCACCCCCAGATGGGCTGCACGGCAATGCTCGCCTTTCAAGAATTGGGCATCTGTTTGCTGTCACCTAGGTCAAGGCCCAGTTGGGGCTGCTGGCAGTCCATGCCAGGTGCACGCGGCAGCCTGGCATGAGCAGTTCTGGCACGGAGGCAGGAGACCTGGCTCCCTCTGGCACTGTCAGCCTGGCCGTGTGCTCTTGAACCGGTCCCTTCCCTCTCTGGGGCGCAGGTTTCACTGTGCTCCCATCAGGGGTTACTCGGTGGGGGGAGAGAAGGTCCCTAAAAGGGTTTCCCTGGAGGGTAGATGTGTCCCTGGCACCGTGGTGCAGGCAGTTATTGACAACAGTTTTTTTTTTTTGAGTTGGAGTCTGGAGTCTCACTCTGTCGCCCAGGCTGGAGTGCGGTGGCATGCTCACAGTCACCCCAGCGTCGACCCACTGGGCTCCAGCGATCCTTTTGCCTCAGCCTTCCAAGTAGCTGGAACTACAGGCACACACTCCTGCACCCAGCTAATTTTTTATTTTATTGTAGAGATGAGGTCTCGCCAAGTTACCTGGGCTGGTCTCGAACCCACAGGCTCAGGCAGTTCACTTGCCTTGGCCTCCCAAAGTGCTGGGATTATAGGCTGAGCTACTGAGCCCAGCCTGTTTTTTTGTTTTTTGTTTTGTTTTGTTTTGATTTTTGGAGTTGGAGTCTCACTCTGGCACCCAGGTTGGAATGCAGTGGCACACTGCTGGTCACCCCAGCATTGACCTGCTGAGTTCCAGCGATCCTTCCGTCTCAGCCTTCCAAGTAGCTGGAACTACAGGCGCATGCTACTGCACTCGGCTAATTTTTGATTTATTGTAAAGACGAGGTCTTGCCAAGTTGCCCGGGCTGGTCTCAAACCCATAGGTTCAAGCAATCCACTCACCTTGGCCTCCCAAAGTGCTGGGATTACAGGCTGAGCTACCGAGCCTGGTCTGTTTTTGTTTGTTTGTTTTTTGAGCTGGAGTCTCATTCTGTCACCCAGGCTGGAGGGCAGTGGCACGCTCCCGGCCACCGCAGCCTCAACCGGCTGGGCTCTGGTGATCCTTCCGCCTCAGCCTTCTGAGTAGCTGGAACTACAGGCGCACACTACCACACCCGGCTAATTTTTTGATTTACTGTAGAGATGAGGTCTCGCCAAATTGCCCA